AGAAGAGTTTTTATTAAAAAGGCATTAATGATGGAGGACGCTTGTGTAGTGAGGAAACCTCTTTCAACATATATAACAACATGGTGGTGCAGGATATGGAAGGCATATTTAGAGTCAGTATAAATATTGATGCATAGTCCCTTTGCAAGAGTGAGGGCCCAAGTTAAGGCAATGAGTTCGGCTTGCTGAGAGTTAGTGGTGCGGGGCAGAGCGGTAGCCTCAATGATAGATATGGAAGATATTATAGCATAGCCTGCCTTTGCTGGCGAGTGGCGATGACGCCTGGTGGAGATGCATCAATAAGTCAAATGTGATCAGGGTGAGGAACAAGAAAGAAGGAAATATGGAGAAATGGGGTGAATGTCAGGTGGATCAGACAGATACAGTCATGGGGGTCAGGCATGGTATCCAGAATAATGTGGGAGGCCAGATTGAAGTCCGGGCCAGGAACAATGGTAATTGTGGGACACTCAACAAAGAGTGAGTACAGATGAAGGAGCCAGTGAGCAGAAAGTATATGTGTCAGGTGTGAGGAAGAAAATAGATTTTGGAAGTTATGAGAACTGTAGAGAGTGGGTTGAGCATAGTTTGTAATTTTTGAGGGCCTCTAAAAATATTAGGGCGGTGGCAGCTGCTGCACGGAGACATAATGGCCAACCTAAAACAGGAAGGTCAAATTGTTTGGACAAAAAGGCTTCAGGGTGCAGTCCCGGTCGTTGTGTAAGAATTCTGGCTGCACAGTCCTGCACTTTGGCTGTGTGTAATGAAAAGGGTTGGGATGAGTTAGGGAGAGCTAGTGTGGGAGCAGTCTCTAAAGCTGTCTTCAAGGACTGGTAAAAGGAGTGGGCAAAGGATTTAGGATCTATGGGGTCAGCTAGGTTTCCTTTTGTGAGTTTATATAATGGTTTTGTTAGGATGGCAAAACCAGGTATTGAAAGGCAAAAGTATCCAACCATGCCTAAGAAGGAAAGGAGTCATTGTTTTGTAGGTATTGGGGTTTGAGAGATCAGTCAGACACGATCGGCAGGGAGAACACATGTGTTTTTATGAAGAATTACGCCAAGGTAGGTAACAGATGGAGAAGAAATTTGAGCTTTCGGGGGGATACCTGATATCCTTTGGAGAATAAATGTTGAAGGAGCAGGAGGGTGTCTCACTGGGAAGATTCAAAGGAGGGGCTACAAAGTAGAAGGTCATCAATATATTGAATATGGTGAGAAGCAGAGGGGTGGAAAGAAAGTAAATCATGAGAAAGAGCTTGGCTGAAGTAATGAGGGCTGTCCCTGAAGCCTTGCGGCAGCACAGCCCAGATAAACTGCTGGAACTGATGAGTGTCAGGGTCAGTCCAGGTAAAAGCAAAGAGAGGCTGGGACGAGGGGTACAGGGGAATAGTTTAAAAAGCATCTTTAAGATCAAGAGTGGAATAGTGAGTTGTGGAGGAAGGTATTGAGGACAAAAGAGTATATGGGTTTGTCACCACAGGGTAGATAAGTAAAATAATTTGGTTGATAAGGTGCAGATCCTGAACTAACTTGTAAGACTTGTCCACTTTTTGGACAGGTAAAATGGGGAAATCGTAAGGAGACTTTATAGGCTTTAAAAGGCCATGCTATAACAGGCCAGTGATAACAGGCTTTACTGCTTTTAAAGCATGCTGTGGAATGGGATATTGGCGTTGAGCAGGGTAAGGGTGATTAGGCTTTAATGGGATGATAAGGGGTGCATAATTGATCACCAAGGAGGGAGTAGAAGTGTTCCATACCTGTGGATTAAGGTGAGGAGATACGAGCAGAGGATGCGAAGGAGGCTTTGAACTGGGGAAAAGGCAGCAATGAGGTGTGGCTGTAGCCCAGGAATAGTCAGGGAAGCAGATAATTTAGTTAAGATGTCTCAACCTAATAAGGGAGCTGGGCAGGTGGGGATAACTAAAAAGGAGTGCTTAAAAGAGTATTGTCTAAGTTGGCACCAGAGTTGGGGAGTTTTAAGAGATTTAGAAGCCTGGCCGTCAATACCCACAAGTTACAAAGGCAAAGGAAACAGGCCCTTGAAAAGAAGGTAATGTGGAGTGGGTAGCCTCTGTATTGATTAAGAAGGGGACAAACTTACCCTCCACTGTGAGAGTTACCCAAAGCTCGGCATCCATGATGGTCTAGGGGGCTTCCGAGGTGATTGGGCAGCGTCAATCTTCAGCCGCTGAGCCAAGAGGATCTGGGAAGAAGTCAGCCAGAGAGTCTTGGGCCAGAGTTCCAGGGGCTCTGGGAGTGGATGCCAGGTGAGTTGAACAGTCCGATTTCCAGTGGGGTCCCACACAGATGGGACACAGCTTAGGAGGAATCCCGGGCTGCCGGCATTCCTTGGCCCAGTAGCCAGATTTCTGGCACTTGTAGCAAGCTCCTAGGGGAGGAGGTTCTGGAGGAACCTCTGGCAGCTGCGGTTAAGGCATTTGGAGTTCTTGTGTGCTGCAGATGTGGCTGGGGTTTGTCTCACAGTGGAGGTAAGGAATTGCAAACTCAGAAATACATTGCTACTTGGCTGCCTTTACTCTACTAGTGTACACCTTGAAGGCGAGGTTAATTAAGTCCTATTGTGGGGTTCCAGGGCCGGAATTTAGTTTTTGGAGCTTTATTTAATGTTGGTAGAGGACTGGGTAATAAAAATACATATTGAGAATAAGACGGCCTTCTGGCCCCTGTAGGCCTAGGGCAGTAAAGCGTCTAAGGGTTGTTGCCAAACAGGCCATGGACTGGGCTGAGTTTTTATATTTGATGAAAAAGAGTCTAAATGCTAACTGATTTGGGAGAGGTCAGATAAAGAAAAAGGAGCATTAACCTTGACTATGCCTTTAACTCCAGTCACCTTTTTAAGAGGAAATTGCTGGGCAGGTGGGAGAGGGCTAGTGGCAAAACGAAACTGTAAGCCAGAGCAGGTGTGAGGAGGGGAGGTGATAAAAGGATTATAGGGTGGAGAAGTGGAGGCTGAGGAAGAATTGGGACCTGGCTCCGCCTGGCGAGGAGCAGCCTGGGGAGGAGGGGAGAGGTCAGATGGGTCTGTAGAAAAGGAATGTTGGAAAGACACAGCAACACTTGGGGTTGGGACTGAGGGGACAGGCAGGAGGGAAAGGAGCAAGATTTGGGATGAGTTACGTTGGCAACAGAGACTAGGGAGGGACCGATATGTAAAAGAATGCCTGGACGTCAGGCACCACAGACTGTTTGCCCATTTTACGACAAGAATTGTCTAGATCTTGTAGGATGGAAAAATTGAAAGTGTCATTTTCTGGCTGCTTGGAACCACTGTCGAGTTTGTATTGGGGTCAAGCGGTGTTGCAGAAGAAAATAAGATGCTTAGATTTTAGATGAGGCAAGAGTTGAAGAGGTTTTAAGTTCTTGAGAACACAGGCTAAGGGAGAAGAAGGAGGAATGGAGGGTGGAGGGTCTCCTATAGTGAAAGAGGCAAGTTTAAAGAGAAGGGTAGAGACGCGGAGAAGGGGGTGGGGAACAGCACTGGGCTGCTATGTGGGTGAGCAGCCAAAGCAGGTGTCCCCGCAATTGACTTGCCACCAAGGGAGTGTGGGTGAATGACCAAGGCAGGCATCCCTGCAGTGATTGGACATCAATGGAATGTGGGTGAATAATCAAGCAGGCATCCCCACAGTGATTATACCCCAAGGGAAGACTGTCTTTCCAAGTCCGTGACCAGCACCAGAGTTTTGGGTCCATGCATAAAATGTGTCTCCTTTGTCTCTACCAGAAAAGGAAAGGAACTGAAATTAAGAGAAGGGAGAGATTGAAGTGTGGCGCCAAGATTGAAAGGAGAAAGAGGTTGAGGGATAGTGAGAGATGTTGGAGAAGAGAGTAAAGAAAGGCTGCGTACCCCATTTAAAATTGGTGAGATGTTCCTTGGGCTGGTTAGTCTGAAGACCAGAGGCCGCAGGTGGACCTTTTTCATAGAGCAAAGAGCAGGAGGACAGGGGATTGATCTCCCAAGGGAGGTCCCCCAATCTGAGTCACAGCACCAAATTTCACATGCGTCCTTGTGAAGAGACCACCAAACAGGCTTTGTGTGAGCCACAAGGCTGTTTATTTCACCTGGGTGCAGGCGGGCTGAGTCTGAAAAGAGAGTCAGCAAAGGGAGATAGGGATGGGGCCGTTTTATAGGATTTGGGTATGTAGTGGAAAATTGCAGTCAAAGTTGTTCTCTGGTGGTTAGGGGCGGGGGACACAAGGTGCTCAGTCAGGGAGCTTTTGAGCCAGGATGAGCAAGGATAAGGAATTTCACAAGGTAATGTCATCAGTTAAGGCAGGAACAGACCATGTTCACTTCTTTTGTGATTCTTCACTTGCTTCAGGTCATCTGGACATACACGTGCAGATCACAGGGGATATGATGGCTTAACTTGCGCTCAGAGGCCTGACAATTTCACTGTACTTCATACCAAGTCATACTTGCTTTATGGCCAAGTTTATTTTAACATTTAAGTAAAACTCAATAAACAAATACTAGAAAAATCCATCTTCAAGTTCAAGTGTGTTCTTCCATGGACTGGAAAATGTTTTAAATTTTGGAATGGGACAAAATAGGGAAAGCGAAGACCCAATTTCCAAAAATGTTTTATTTGGGGAAAACTTTAAATAAATCCTTATCAGAAGCCTACACATATATATGTACACACACACATATACACATATATTTTAAAATATGAAAATGGATAATTAATCACAGTAAGACATTTTTCCCAAGATTTCACTGAGTTTTTGTTGTTGTTGTTGTTGTTAGCTATAGTGTGGAAGTATGTAGATTTTACATTTAGAAGCTACAGTTATACTATATTTATGAATTTCCAAATTTGCAATTTTTCCTACCTTCATCTCTGCCAAATTAATAGTTAATATGCCTCATACAGGCTTAGCAAAAGTAATTATAACTGTTTTTTGAAACATATTTTTTTAATGACCCAAAGGCGCATCATTCTAACTATCCTTTTTTTTCCTTTCTGGCAGATGACATTTGATCCAGAAATCTTCTTCAATGTTTTACTGCCACCAATTATATTTCATGCAGGATATAGTCTAAAGAAGGTAAATATATAGTGATCGTTTTCTTCTTTTATCATTAAGTAGAGAATTTTACCAGCACTAATGAGAAACTGTTATTTTTATGGGCTTCTCTTTTTGCTCAGAGTATCATTATCTTAGATTTGTGATGCAGATTCAAACCTGACATGCTTAGAATTCTAGACTTCTTCTAAACCTACTCTGTTGAATATAGGCCATTAGCCACATGTAACTATTTAGCTCTTGAAATGCAACTCATCTGAATCGAGATGTTCTTTAAGTGTAAAATACACACTGGATTTTAAAGACTTTGTATTTATTAAAAGAATGTAGATATTTCCATAATGTTTTATATTGATTTCATGTAGAAATGTTAGTATTTTGGATTGATTGGATTAAACAAAACATTATCAAAACATATTTCATCTTTTAAAAACATTTTAATGTAGCTACTAGAAAATTTAAAAATTTTTATATATGTGGCTTGCATTATATTTCTATTGGACAGCATTATTCTGGATGATTGTAACCAAAGACTTTGGTTATTAATTAACATTGGGTTTATCCTTTCAAGTGAAAACGCAAGAATACTGTTGATGCTCATAGAGAGGAAAGTCCAGTTTTGCAGTTTCTATGCACTTGTCTAACAATACTTGGGCACAGCCTGACTATGCACATTTTGTACATTAGTAATTCTCATAATAGTTTAAGTACTGGCATCCCCTGAGCCACAGAGCGAGGCCCCAGCCTACATGGTTTTTGAGAGGCAGAGGTGATGTGACTGCTCTTCTGCTGCTCAGTTCCCACTCTAGGAGATTCCTGGGGCTTTCCTCCCCTTGACCAGTCATTTTCAGCAACCAGGCAGCTTGTTCACTACAGACCTGATTTTCTTGTGTGTACTCCAGGCTCCCTCTTGCTCTCAGTCTGGCTCCTCAGATCCCACTCAAAAACTTGGGATGGAGTTTTCCCTAAGCAAGCAGTTGAAAAAATGTAGAAGGCTGGATTTGTTCAGGTCACCCTTCCTTATTGCCAGTCCCAATACTAAGCATCATTTTGTGGCTCACTCGTTAAAATAAAGTGAATTGCTGTAAGTTGGGGGATTTGTTTTGTTTTGTTTTGTTTTGGAGACACGGTCTCCCTCTTTTGCCCAGGCACAATTATGGCTCAAAGCAGCTTCGACCTTCTGTACTCAAATGATCTTCCTTCCTTCAGCCTCCCAAATTGCTGTAATTACAGGCATGAGCAGGCTGTTGTAGATTTTTAAAGTTTATTTTCATCACATTTAGAAGACATAAGAGAAGTCAGAGATCCAGTAAAATCAAAAGGCAACTTAAAACTCTTAGAATAGTTTTGTTTGTTTGTTTGTTTTAATGCTAAAGGAGTTGCATTAACAACGAAACTTCATGAAAACTGTGTCTTCCATTATTGCCCCGATTCTGGCATAGACATTGCCCAGTTCCTTCCTTCCCTGTCAGGTCCAGCCAGTTCTGGGAAATGCCTCTCTCATCCCTACCTACTCATCTTCCAGTGGTTTTTTTTTTTTGTTTGCTTGTTTTTTTTTTTGTTTCTTGCCTTTTCCCCCCAATCCTTTGCAATGAAAATCAGTTAAGTCCCTATTAGCACAATAAGGCCAGGAATGAGGCTCCAAAACCAAAATTTGCCTAAACAGTGAGGGATCTGTGAACTGCATACATTTATTTTTATTTTCTATTGTACTAAGAAAAAATTCTGATGTACTCTATTAAGTGTTTTTTTTTTCTCCCCAGAGACACTTTTTTCAAAACTTAGGATCTATTTTAACATATGCCTTCTTGGGAACTGCCATCTCCTGCATCGTCATAGGGTAAGTGACATTCGGAGCTCAAGTTGCAGGTGGCTGTGGGGTCTGTGATCTGTGTGAGGGATCTAACACTTCTGGGATTCTTGCTGGCTGGGAAAATTGTCTTTTTTTTCTTAGTATGTCACATATTTGTACATTTTTTTCTGGATTAATTCCAAGGCTTCTGACAAACACAAGACTTCAAAGCAAACTAGAGGATTGCTGGATTTTCTCTGTGAATTCTGGACTTCTAACTTAGGGAATGTGGATCACTTGCCTTGAGTTATGTGAAGTGCATTGCATTCTTCTTTTAATTTGAATAATGCTGATATGTTCACTGCATTCTTTTTTGTTTTCTATTGAGGGACCTTACCTGTATTTGGCAGGATTGCACTAACTATATGCCAAGGGTTTTCTTTCTAAAAGAAAGTTTACAAGACAGCAGTCTGAAACAGATGTGTGCAAATATCAACAGAGTTGCTTAATACTGGGATAGCTTTTCAGTTAATACCCTGTAGAATGCAGACTCTTTTTCATTATATTTTCTTGATTATGCTACTGAGCCCTAAGTCACACTTTATACACTCTGGCTTGCAGCTCATCATAAAGCAAAATGTGGTCCCAAATGGTGAAGGCAATCCAGCCTCTGACAATCCCATCCAATACATTAAAGCTCCACTGCAGAAAAAAAAAAAATGTCCAGATACTATGACTGTGATGATGCAGATGTCTTCAATTTTCTGATACAGTCAACTCTACTCTTGATTTTTACTGTCTACAGCTGTTATAACCCAATACAAGAAACTGATGCTAAAAATACACACGGTTCATGCCTCCACCCCTTCTCTTATGGAGTTTCTAGTGTGTGTCAGTTGAAGACCAACCAGGTGTCAGGCAGTGTCTTTACTTGTGCCTGTAAGCAGAGGGATTTTGTGTTGAATGCACTGCTAAATTTCTGTTGAGTGGAGACTAGAAGAAGTCAGGCTATGTTATATAAAAATATTCACAATGTTTTAAGACAGTGAGAAAATTAAAGATTTTAGCACCTGAAAAGGGAGGTTTGCAAGTGTATAGATTAGGGAGCCCCATTAAGTCTGGATACAAGTGGTCTTTAAACTGTGAGTGACCTGAGAGACACAGGGTACTTGACCCTTCTTAAAGCATGTTCTAGGAGGGCTTTTCTGTTCTGTGAGTATGCAATAGCTAAATATTCACATTTCTAAACTTTGCAGGGGCCTAAGAGATCTATGTAACTACAGCCTCTCATTCTGAAGATGAGACATCTTCAATAGTTAAATAATTGGCTCAGTCTTACCATTTCTGAGAATCAGGGCGATGGTCAAGACAGAACTCAGAACTTCTGCGTCTGATCCAGCAGGTCTTCACTGTCTCTTCCTTTAGCAATTTCTCTTGAATTCCTATACATCCCTATGCATTGTTTCTACACATTGAGAGAGGGTTCTGAGACATGTGGACTCACAACAAATGTTCCTTGGTTAATAGTAAAGATATATTTTAGTGGTTCTATAATATGGAGTCTTGAAATTTATAATGTATCCAAATTCTAAACTCTTGGACAATGCTGCCAAATTGTAGAATAGTAAGTTTTTATTGTTACCTCATTTCTTTGGTACAACTGGTTTTAAGTATATTTAAGTGCATTTATTTATATTTATATTATATGCTTTCACTATCATGAAAAATCTAAATTCTTTCTTAGATCTTTCAATATCCTTTTTTTAAGAAAGCACCAATATATACTCTGTGTGTGTGTGTGTGTGTGTGTGTGTGTGTGTATGTATGTGTGGTATATAACTGCCTTTATCTAAAACATTTCAATTTAAGAGATCAAGTGATTTTCATTTACTGGGGTTGAAAACCTATTTTGATTTATTTTAAGACAAGATTTTAAATTGTTGGTTGTCCAACAACTTATAATGGAAAGTCATTTGAATAAAAGAGTAGTCCTAAGAAAAATTTTAGAACGGTGTTCTTAGTTTGAACTGGGTAAAATTTGTAGTTACTTTCTTATTGTGGGTCATTAAAGTATAGAAGGGAAAGATAGCTTAAACATTTTAGAACCTCATCTAGTGAAGTAAGGGAAATCATTGAAATGTTTTAGCTTGAAGATGAAAAGTCAGATTCCTACTTAAGAAGGTCATTTTGGTAGCTGTGTGAAGGAGAAATTTTAAAGTGGGTACCATTTAAGAGGTAATTTACATGGGCCAGGTTGGAAATGATAAGGGCCTGGACTCAGTTAGTGGCAGAAAAGGTAAATGTGGAGTCATTAGCTTGGTGAAATCTTGGAAGAATATGGCATCACCCAGGGCAAGTTGTGAAGCGAGAAGGAAAGAGATCTAGGGAACACCAGTATTTTGAAGAAAGAGAAGAGACACTCACAAGGCACCAAGGAGTATTGGACTCGAAAGAAAACCAACAGGGCATGTGTTCTGGAAGTCAAAGGAAGAGGAAAAGGGAGGGTCCACAGAACCTAACACAGGAGAGGTCAAATGGGATAGGAATTGTGCTACCACTGGATTTGACCCCTAGGAGGTAATGGGTGACTTTACACTTGTCTTATGGGCAAAAATGAGGGAAGAGTATTGGCAAGTCCAGTTGTTTTGGGATCCATATAATCAGAAACAAGAATTTACTTTTATGCTGCCAGTCTTGATATATAATTTCAGAACTTCTGAAGAAAAGGGCACATGCTTAAATTCAGATCAAACTGACACTTTCACAACTTGGTAACTTCCATTATATGAGATGCAATCAAACTGTAGAAAATGACTGGCTATATTTTCCTTATAAATAAATGGTGATAAGAACAACAACAGTTTATGGAGTGCTTGATACGTATCATGCCCTTCTAAAAAGTACTTTACCCATTTAATCCTCAAAATAATCCTATTAAGTAAGTAGATACTATTTATTAACCTCATTTAACAGATGAAACAGCTGAGGTTAAAAAAGAGTAACACAGTGGTAAATAATAGAGCTGGGATTAGTAACTAAATCGTTTGGCTCCAGAGTCAAATTCTTAATGCTAAAACCTGCTTTACTTCTGTTTGTTGAATATTAGCACCAAAAAAATGAAATTGTATAAATTAATCAATATTCATTCATCAACATACCACATTTCTTCATTATCCCAGTAGGAGTTCTCATAGACATGGGAGATTTTTATTTGGGAAGTCCATCCAAAAAGAATTCACATTTTTAAGGGATGGCCTGAGTTTATGCAGATATACTCAGACTTGCATGAAATGGGCAGGGGGAGGGATTCAGAAGTTAGATCAAACTCTTTGAGAATGATTTCATAGAGGAAGTGGATCCCGGGCAGACATTTAATGGAGAAGGATAAAGAAGTCAGATTTTCCATGCCATTAAGTGCATTAGTTCTGGTGGGTGCCGGGAACACTGTGCAAGGTTCCAGGATGGAGAGTAGTTTCATATAGCAGTGCCAGAGATGGTGGGAATGAAAATGCTAGAGTCAGCTGACAAAAGACCATGAAGTCCAGCATCCAAAATGTATGAGAATGTGAAGGCCATGGAGAGAGACTTGGAACATGAATAAAACTCAACTAGTGGGCTGTGATCTTCTGTAGCTAAGCAATATTGGTTTTAGCTGAACTCAGATACTTTACAGGAATGGAGATCACTGGGTTTATTTGCATGAACGAGGTCTTTAAGTTTTATTAATTTCATGTCATTTCAGAAATTAGATGTAAACCATTTTTCATATTGCATGGGAAAGTTTAACAATATTCTTTCTGGCAAAAAAGTCGAATAAACCTTTTTTTATTTCAATGATGGATTGCTCTGAAAGAATTCACCTACCTTTTCTAGTACCCTCTCCCACTTTATCACTTGAGAAGTAGAATCTTATATCCATCTCCTTCTAAAAAGAAAAGTCCATGTGTTTGAAATACTTTTGTATTCATGTCCTCCATCTTGGGGGACTATTATTTGATTTTTGACTCTATGTCTCCACCCTATGCACCACGCCAATATATCACAATGACAACCTAGCTGAAGCTCACTGTCAGCACATACATTTTGTTCTAAGAACTCATTAGTATCTATGAAATGCTTCTTTTTAAGAGCAACAAAATTTATATTCTCTTAGTTTCTCTGTTAATGAGGAATTAATACAAAATCCACAGTTTCAAAACTATTTGAAGAAAGGGACATTAATCTAAATGATCAGGAATGGAAAATTAATTTTAAGAATACCTCATTTAAAAAATTTCTTTCCATGTGCCAGACACTGACTTATGCTTTTTACATGTATTATCTCATTTTATCTCATACTACCCCATGAGGTAAATACTGTTGTTATCATCATTTTACATATGAAGATGCTGCAGTTGAGACTTGTCCAAGATTATACAGTAAGTCGTAGTAAATTCAGAGCCAGTCTGACTCTAGAACACATGCTCTTAGAATCTCCTTGTCCTTCTCCTCCTTCTAAAATGACATTTCATGTGTCCTGCAGTATTTCATGAAATGGGCAGTATATATCAGTAATTATATCCGTCTGACAAACCAAGACCTCAATAATTTCAGATTCTTACCTTTATCATTATGGCTAGAAATTATGAAAAATCTAAATATTTCAGAATTGTCTGTGAATATAATTGCAAACAGGAAATCAAACCTGTCTTTTCTTACTGAAGGTGGTTGGAAGGATGGTATGAATCCGTTTTACTTGCTTATTGTATTAGTCCATTCTCATGCTGCAGTGAAGAAATACCTGAGACTGGGTAATTTGTAAAGAAAAGAGGTTTAATTGACTCACAGTTCCACATGGCTGGGGAGGCCTCAGGAAACTTACAATCATGGCAGAAAGCACCTCTTCACAGGGGGGCAAGAGAGAGAATGAGAGAAAAGCAGGGAAGAGCCCCTTATAAAACCATTAGATCTCATGAAAACTCCCTCACTATCGTGAGAATAGCATGGGGTACCACCCCCATGATCTAATCACCTCCCACAAGGTCCCTCCCCCAACATATGGGGATTAT